ATGAGTAGTGCTACGCATCAGTGGTACACGATCCGGTGCAATTTATACGGGATCAAAGAAATGAATGAACATGTGGATGTGTGTCAGCCACGTTAATTAATCATGCATGCCGTTATAGTCCGCAAACTCCTCGCAACTCTACCAGTCAATTTCAACTTCTGTTCCTCCAATCCGTCGTCTTCTTCGCCTTTTTCTGCGGCCCCATCTCTTATAGCCAGAACATGCGCAGGAAGCGGGGGAGAAGGGAGAACGGAATGATGAGCAGAGAAGAGAGAGTTGCCCTTCTCCGTGGAGAAGGCAAGGAGGATCGTGTGTTGGTGAGGAGGTGTTTGATCGAGTCCAAGAAGCTTTGGCGGGTCGTCGGCCCGGCGGCATTTAGCAGGGTGGTGACCTACAGCTTGAACGTCATCACACAGGCCTTCGCCGGCCACCTCGGCGACCTCGAGCTCGCCTCGATCTCCATCGCCAACACCGTCGTCGTCGGCTTCAGCTTTGGCCTGATGGTATCTATCACCATTAATTTCCTCTCCCTCCGCGTCTTCGTGGTCTCAACTTCTCCCATTTCAATACATTGCCACTTGGATCTTTCTCCAATAGACAACTCATGCAAGTTGTTTCAATGAGGATTGGATGGATGGTTGTTTCCGTCTTATCGTTGACTTCTTCCTGCGTACTAGACTCTGGTTCAGAGCCGTTGCAATTGTTGGATCTGATGGTAAGCATATAAAATGCAGCTTGGCATGGCGAGCGCGCTGGAGACGTTATGTGGGCAGGCTTTCGGTGCGAGGAAGTACCACATGTTAGGCGTGTACATGCAGCGGTCGTGGATTGTGCTCTTCATATGTGCAGTCCTTTTACTCCCCATGTACTTCTTCGCCACCCCAATCCTAACACTGATAGGGCAGCCGCCGGCACTGGCGGCACAAGCCGGGGAGGTGTCGATGTGGTTCATCCCGCTGCACTTCTCCTTCGCCTTTCTCTTCCCCCTCCAGAAATTCCTGCAGTGCCAGCTCAAGAACTCCATCAGCGCCACGGTTTCGGCGGTCGCCCTCGTCGTCCACCTCTTCGTCACCTGGCTCTTTGTGTCGAAGCTGCAGCTTGGCCTGATCGGAACCACACTCACCCTCAACTTCTCTTGGTGGGTGGCTGTTTTCTGCCTCCTTGGCTATGTCACATGCGGTGGCTGCCCTCACACTTGGAAGGGCTTTTCCATGGAAGCCTTTGCCGGGCTGTGGGAGTTCATTAAGCTCTCCGCCGCTTCCGGTATCATGCTATGGTATCGTCACTTCTCTTCTCGTCACTAGCACGCTTTAGATGATGGATAATTCTTCGAACTTGCTGTTCCAACAGCTTGGAGAACTGGTACTACAGAATACTGATCTTGTTAACGGGGAATCTTAATAACGCTGAGGTCGCAGTGGACGCCATATCGATCTGGTAGGTTTCCTCGGTCTCATACATGAAGTTTATACTCGATCTTGAAACAATAACAGGTTCTATTGTTCTTGTTGAACAGCATGAGTATAAATGGATGGGAGCTAATGATTCCTTTGGCATTCTTGGCTGGCACTGGGTATGTGAAAGATGGCATCTACCCCTCAGTTTGTACTACATATTGGTGCTGATGTTTGATATCACAGCGTGCGCGTCGCCAACGAGCTCGGAGCCGGCAATGGCAAAGGTGCGAGGTTCGCCACCATCGTGTCTGTGACGACCTCTTCTGTGATCGGCCTCTTCTTCTGCGTGTCGATCATGTTGCTCCATGATAAGTTCGCCTTCATCTACACCTCGAGCTCAGTCGTGCTCGAGGCTGTCGATAAACTGTCCGTTCTATTGGCGTTCACAATTATCCTTAACAGTGTTCAACCTGTTCTTTCTGGTGAGTGTGTTCTTCTTTTCTTTTCCCTGTGAATACTTTGCATTGCCATTTGTGCTAAATTTCAACTTCCTGCAGGTGTTGCTGTTGGGTCGGGATGGCAAGCGCTGGTGGCATATGTTAACATAGGGACATACTACTTTGTTGGAATTCCTGTAGGAATTCTCCTGGGATGGGTCTTCAGACTTGGCGTTCTGGTATATATGCTTTGTTAATTTCCATGCACGTATGCTACTCTTGTAGTATATTATCAACCCTTCATTAAGCCTTTGATGATGATGATGATGATGATGATGATGATGATGCAGGGAATTTGGGCAGGAATGATTGGTGGAACTGCAGTGCAGACAGTAATTTTAGCCATAATTACCATCAGATGTGATTGGGATAAGGAGGTCAGATTTAGCTGGGACTCGATGCCTAGTTTTACTCCGTGTTCCTCGATTCTCCTATTTCAAGTCCCTTTCCCGTGCACTTTGCAGGCGGCAATCGCTAACGCGCGCGTGGAGAAATGGTCCGGTCCCAATAAACCATGAAAGTAGATGAAGAAATGTTCACAGGATGTTATTAATAATTGAAATGCTTAATAGCGGTTATTGCAGAATAGGAAAAGAGGACAAAGGTTAGTAAGATCTCTACTCTTTTTACTCGAATAAAATGGATTTACGAAGAAAATTGAACGAAGTGGATCGGTCTAGTTCACCTCAAAGTTAAGATCGAGTCTTATGATTTTAATCATAGACCTCTTAAGTTCTTATTATTTATTTATGTCTAAAATAACTCATATATTTTTTAAAATCGTAGCAGATAAGTTCCTCTCATCAAGTCTAACTGAACATATATGCTTACGTGGTATGCTGATTCACTTTAAATCATTAATATAATGATACGTATAATTTGAGGTTAAGGTCTATTTTAATCCCTATGGTTTCTATCATGGATCTCTTAAGCTTTTATGGTTTACTCGTATATAAAATAACTCATATATTTTCAAATATGTAGTATATAAGTCCCTTTCATCAAATCTGAGTTAACAGGCATTAGAGTCTACTTATGTGGTATATTAACTCACAATAAATCATTAATATAATAACATATGTAATTTAATTTTTTTAAAAAAACTGAGATCTCCATCAATGACGGGAGGAGGCATCATCGTGGAAGTGACTACTAGTAGTAGTATTAAGTCATTGCAGTCTAGTAGGACATCGTACATATGCAGCCTCTCTCGCACTTACAATGAACTCAAAAGTTTTTGGATGTCACTCGCTAGCACTAGGGTGCATGCTACCATGTCGCCCACCACGATGCTGCCTGCCACTACGAACAACACCCACTGGTCGAAGATGCCTAGGAGGAGGAAAAGGAACCAGGAGACCTTGCATACCTAGTGTTGAATTGATCGATACATATCTACCTAAGGTAGAACTAAAAGCTCTTGAGCTTGTCATCAGACAGAAGAGGTTACATATGTATGATGCCTTGCTAGGTAGTAATTACTCAATATTACTGTCGGTAGTCGTTTTCGTAACGATGAATTCTCCCGTCATTGATGGAGGTCCCTGTTTTTTCTTAAAACTTAAATTATACATATTATTATATTAATAAAGTAAACTTTAATATATGTTAATTCAGATTTATCGAGAAAAACTTATACATTATATTTTAAAAATATAAAATTTATTTTAAAATATGAATAAATCATACAAAATTCACGATTTATGAAACACGCGGAACAAACCACTAAAGCAGTTGTACTCACTAAAGTACATGCCTACAACAGATTCCAAATAGGAGGAGGGCGGGAGGAAGGAAACGACGCCTAGGGATCATAATAATGAAATCATGGAAGGAGAAAAATAAACGGAGGATCATCCGATCGAGAGTCAACGGCGGAGACAGCTCCGCGAGGGGGAACGGAAGTAACTACCCGGGCCTAAAGGGCGACAGCAGCGACCGTGGCGCCGGCCACGACGATCCAGCTGACGGCCATGACGGAGGCGCCGTTTCTAGGAGTCGAAGGTGAGGTGGGGGGCCGCTGAAGGGGTCGTGCTGATCGAGGATGGGGACGACGTGGCCGGCGGCGGCGCGGGAGGGGAGGAGGCGGGGGCCTCGGACGGGGACTTGGAAGTCAGTGGGAAGGCCCGGAGAGATACCGTGGGCGGCGAGGACGCCGGGGGGGGAGACAGGTGCGGCGGTGGGGGAATTCGTCGGCGCCGGGTTCGGGGGTTTCACCGGTGCGGGTGTCGGGCCTTGGGCGAAGGAGGTCGCGACGAGCAGCATGATCGAAAGGAGAGTTCGGCTAAGCGAAGGGAGGCAGACGCCATCTCCACCACCGTGAGACCCAACAGATCCAAGTCGAGATCGGGAGGGCGAAGATTGAAAGTCGAGTAAGGGCTTCGAAGGAGCAATGTCGAAGTGGGAGTGCGAAGGATATATAGTGGAGAAGAAGCGAGATAAGCAGCCAACTTAAAAGAACAGACGAGCAAGTAGACTCGTCCTCAATCGTCCGATCGATGCTAAGCACGGCTCAGATTCATTAATCAGAGGGCTGCTGACACCGTTTTGGAAGACGACCGTTAGGGTCAGTGAAAGGGAGACAACTTAGCGTGACAAGTGGTGTGGCGGATGAAATCATTGGGGTATATGTCTTTCTTCTTTTTTCCGTTAGTTTCCTATGATATTAGAAATTAAAATTTCGATGAATTTAATCATTTTTAAATTATTTTATTTTATTTACATTTTTGTATTGCATGAGCAGGTGGACAGCACATGGGGGGTTGCGTTGTTCATGTAACCAGCTGTCGTGAGGCAGCAGTCGTTCATCGTGCATCAGACGGCCAAGAAATCGAGGTTAGGTGACAGCGGATGGGGTGGTGGCAGTTGTGGACGCGCCGTCGAACGAAACTAGCAATGGATGAGAAAGGAGTGTGAGGCGCGCGCTTCTCCCGGCAACGTTTTGCCGCCAAAAGACTGTCACTTGGCCCGCAGACTCTCTCTGGCTTTTGCAGTCTACCGAAATGTGCGTAGATATAAAGTCTTGCTGACACATTTTAGGTAGTAACTTAGTTCACCTAAGCTCATGGCTTTTCAATGCCCGACAGTCTTTCTTTCGGTAGGTTGTGGGTGATAAGTAGATGAGATTTTCCTAACTGTTGAAGAAATCTCTCTACTATGTTGAGGGAAATCCTCTAACCCGTTGAGGAAACTTCTCCTTCTAACCTGTATATAAAGACGGAGGATATGTCAATAGCATTCAACTTCTTCTTTTACAACTCATTTATCTCTTTATTTTAACATGGTATCAGAGCAGCTCCTCTTGGCGACAGCAGCATCGCCATGTGTTAGCCAAGCGGCCACAGTAGCACGTTGCCTCAAGCGGAGTCATTGAAGAAGCACCAAGACACGGATTCAGAGCCAGTGCTAACCGGTCTTGCTTTTCTTCGCCGGCCTTGCTCCCTCTCCTATTTGCTGCCTACAGCAGACACTCTTCGTCGCCGTCACGCAAGGAGGAAAACATTCTCTCCTCAATAGCAGTGAACGGCGAACAGCGGTGTCTTCCTCGCTTCCCGGCCAG